GAACCATACACCGCCATATCCTATGTCTTTTGTGCATCCCCACTTGAAGTATTCGTAAGAAAACAAAAACAAAAAAACGAGAGAGCCACGGGCATCTTCATCCTGACCCATAACTGCTGACATGGGGACCTGAACGCCAATCAGCATATATTGGTAGGTCGTTAGTAGGCGACTACCCCTTCTTGCGAACTTACCCCACTACTGTGTGGGATTTGCAGAAGGCAGCGGGAAGGACAACTTTCATACCCCGCCTAAAACAAAAGTTGGAATGATCCCTATTTTGTGTCTCGCTATTCTGAAACTTTTGGGGGGAGGGCCTGCGGAAATTGAAATTTTGGCAGCCCTTACCCAAAAGAAAAGTTTGGGCCGTGGGCGCGGCTGGTTTGCGAGCTTGCGTGGTGAGTTTAACATTTTTGCCGAGTTGGGGGCCCTAAGAAATTATGAAACCCCTACTTTTTTTCTTTTTTTTTTTTGGACCTAATTTTTCAAGTGCGCTGCGCTTTGGTGCGATGTGCGGTGCGCTGTGCTGCGCATGGTGCGCAATTCGTGCGCAAATCTGCGCACCGAGGTGCGCCGCAACTATGATATTTATATATATGGAGTGTATTTTTTGGCTGTGACAGACCTTTCTTTGTTTCGTGGATGTTTTGCAAGCTTGTGATGGGGTGTGAACCGACAGTCTGTAGAGTHTTCCATCTGGTGTGGGTGAGTGATAGTCTACTTTGATTTYGGTTAMGGTAGATTATCATTTRCASTGTAATCAGTGAGGGGATTCTGCAGACTGTTGAGGGTTCAGCCTCCTGATGAGTCGGTGAAACTCCGACGAAACAGTTTGTCAYAGCCCCTCGTTTGTTGYCCTCTTCTCTCTCTCTGCCTACGGTTTACCGGGCAGTTCTGTTTGTGACGATATATATATATATATATGACTCTTATCTTAGACTCTTCCCGTAGTCCAGTACAGGAAGGTCAAGTCTCCATCTTGGCCCACCATAGTCTGGTTGATCGAGTCAGATCTACGACCCGCCATGTAACTATGCCTGGGCACAACCGGGATCCCCAGGCATAGTTACGCAATGATATTAGGCAATGATTGAGTCTTTTGCCCTCGCTGGTTACGCACTGATAGGTTTTTTCCTGATAAACAGTATATTAGGACTCCCAAAAGACTCAATAGACTTGACGCCTATCCCTCCGACATCCTGTGGAAGTAAAAAAGCCTCCTGAGGCGGCCACACCTCCTAAGCCTTTACCCCTTTGGTAAGACGTGGGCCCGCTGCCAGGCTACGCAACCAACACTAGGGGTTGCACCCCAGTGATGCTAACAACAGCCCCTTAGCTGAGCATCCTCGCGTATGCCTTAAGATTAGCAACAACCGGCTGAACGATGTGTCGCAATAAACTCAGGCCTATTGCGGGATTACGCAGAGGCCTGTCACACTCGAAAGGCCTTTACCAGTTCCCTATGGGACAACATAGAGAGCAGGACATCCTTTCCAAAATCACAAAAAATCACCGTCAGACTCAGAAGGTCGTGGCCTCCCAACTTGATCAGAGCAAGTAGACCACGCATCTTAGAGACATCTCTCCAAATGCACCATTTTTTGCAGCATCCCAAAATTGCACCAATAGTCCAATAGACCAGTTCCTTGGTCCTTCTCCTCAGACTTTATCATCCAAAACTGCTTTCCATACCATTAAATCTTTTGAGTTTTAGCCACCTTTCACTTGAAGGGGTCTCAACCATTAGGCCATTCAGTCATCCTCCCACTCAAGGATGAACGTCCATATGATTTTTTTAGACATCTTTCACTTGAATATGAGTCCAAATGAACGAATAACTACCTTCTCACTTGAAGGGGTATCGACCATAAAACCACCCAACACTGAGAAACCAACTTGTGGGTCCTCGTTACAACTGAACAACAAACATTCAGTATGGTTAATCATTCGAGCGTCAAAAGACCTACAAATCCCTTAGGATTTTCACACTTTATCACCAAACGGGTTGCGCTTCCCCTTCTTATACTCGGCCCCACCATGCACGTAGGCAGACCGCACGAGTATACCGAAGAGTAGACGGTCTACACATTTTACATTCAAAGAACATACAGGATGCATCCTGTACATCTCTCACAAAAAGCCATCATACATCAAGATAAATCCACACATATGAGAGTGATTGTGATCGTCATACACATAGGATAGTCTCAAGAATCTCAACTCAATATACACTCAAAGGTGGGGTAACCCACCCAAAAATTTATAACAATAGTAATCTCAGGCTCGCACACGTGCTCGAACTGAGCAAAAATGTATCCAAAAGGCACAAGGCAATCACTCCGCCAACAATACACTCAGAGTGAGATGAGTCTAACTCACAAGAATAAAAAATAGCCACATTGTCATGAATGCACAACACCCTCAACTTAATCCACATATCGCACAGCTGAGTCCTAACTCCCAAATAGTAAGGAAGACAGTCTCATGTTGCAGAGTTACCTATACATAACTAAACAGTGTGAGTACGAGAGACCAAAAACAAAAACGCAAACCGCTAACTCAGGTATATACACACTCGACTCAGTCCCCATACACAAGAAGAGTCTATGCCTACCCGATTATCAGAACTATATCCTAGCAACGAGGACTCTCCTATTGATGCATAGGCAAACCAGTCCTACTCACTCATCTCTTCCAGGTTTTGGCTGTACAACTGAGCCCTACTCCCATCAGTGAACCACTCTACCAACTGCCCCATCCTATCATACATTCTACGATCCTTCTCTGTGAACTTTCCTGCCGCCTTGTCCTTGAGGAATTTTGGGCACTGCAGAGCCCGATGCTCCCTCTTCTTGTAAAAGAAACAAGACTGATCACTCAACCTTTTGTACGTCTTCCTCTTCCTACGGGAATCAGGCGATGGGGGTGTTTTTGTAGCCTCTCTGGCCAGCTCATGACATAGGGGTGCTCCTACGTGCTCCTCAGGTCCTGACTCTGATGCCCGAATATCCACCACACCCTGTGCTCCCCCTGCCTCTGGCATGTACTCAGGTGTGTCCAGCCTCTGTGGCTTACCCCTGCACATGCCTTCCACAGTGATCACTGTCTCCTCCTCGCGAGGTGTCTCTACCCTCTCCTCAGGCATAGGTGTGCTCACTCCCTCTGGCATACTGCTGAGTGCCTCCAAGAGTACATCCATGGACCCCTCATTTGATCCCTGAGCATGCTCACTCGTAGCCCCTTGCGGTCCACTCTCGGCTGGCATCGGCAGGGATACTGACACTGGCTCGCACGAGGGTGCACGCTGAGTAGCCAACTTGGTAGGCACCCTGAACTCAAAGGCTTCTCTCTCCGCCTCTCTTTTGGCTTCTGCCTCTGCTGGCTCCATAATAACTCTTCCAATAGCTGGCTCTTGGGCGGACCCTGTTGCAGGCTGATATCCAAATAGACCTCGTACTGCCTCTCCCTGGATACCATAGTGGCAACTCTCAGTCCAATCCACCACCATAGTAGATGTCACTCGCTCTAACCTCGCCGCCATGTCCTGAAGTTGTCGCTTCAGGTCGAGCAAAGTGTCCTGAACAGTAGCGGCCTGGCTAGTTAGTTGCGTCCTAAGCTCCCGAATCTCTGCCTCGGCCGACCCTAGACGCCCCCGTTAGATCTGGCACCTCAGACTTTTTCTCTGCCAGGGCGCCTTCCAGCATCAGGCACCTATGGAAGGAAGTCCCAGTCAATATGCGGATCCTTCAGTCCAAGTCCTCATCCGCCTCTCTCGCAGCCTCAAGCCCTGTCCTCGCTGGGTCGCCCTGCCTCTCTGAGTCATGCTCTCGTGATGCTGGCCGCGCTTCAACTCTCTGGCCCCAATACTTTCCCCAAATAGCAGCGACTCGACGGGTCCTTGGTTGCACATCTGTTGGCGGATCTAGGAGTGCCCCTACTGGCTCTCTTGCTCTTCGCCTGCCTCCCAAGTGGCCTCCGGGATCGGCTCAGGTCCCTGCTCTGTGACTGGCGATTGAGGAGGGGTATCGTCTCTAACCTCAATCATCTCCCCAGTATGCCGCTCGACCTGGACTCCCGGCCCCATCTCTTGCTCTGGCCTGTGCGCTTCCCCCATCGGCACGTCCCCTGGTGGCTCATCACAATCCACGCTACAATGGCAATGACAATAGGAAGCAAGGCTTTAAGGCGGAGCGAATCCTGAAATATTGCCTCAGTTCGGATTGTTCTCTGCAACTCGAGAACATGAACTTGGAATCGCTAGTAATCGCGGATCAGCATGCCGCGGTGAATATGTACTCAGGCCTTGTACACACCGCCCGTCACACCATGGGAATTTATTTTGCCCGAAATCGTCTCTATGATAAACCAATGACTTGAATACGTTATTGTCCACGAAAGAGTAGTAATTCAGGATTCCAAGTATTCTCTGATTGTAGAATCTTAATATGTCAGCATGATCCATGGGGACTATTCCACGTTTTGTCGTGGGTATAAAGTCTCCTTTCAAAAATCCCTGTTCTCGCAGTGTACTTAACAGTTTTTTGATGGGTGCATGCAACACCAATCTTTTCCTTCTTTCGTACCTTCAATTGACATTAACATAATAAGGATATTCTTTCTATTTGAAAAGATTCCCCAAATACCTAAAAAAAAAAGAATCATTGAAAATGTTAAATATTTCACTAAATCCATAATCCGATATTTGTATTTATCCCCATTATCCCTGATAGTCGGAATCGTAATTAGTACGAGTAAGCTTCACACCTCACGGTGCTTTTACTTCTCGCCTATCCAAGTGGGCTTTCACCTTGTATGATAACTTTTTTCAAGAGGTTGGTGACTCAATTCTTATCTGAAGAGCTTAAACTGGAGCTTAATCAGCAGGTGCGAAGCACAAAAAGTCATAATGGGATATCTCTCCTAAGTACCCAAATTCATGCCGTGAAATGGAAGGCACAAAATCAAGTCTCTTGGGTTAGGCGCGAAGCGCACGGAAAAGTATACCGAAGAAGGATACACCGTTCACCATGAAGTAACACGAAATTTTATTTTTCTTTTTTTTAGAGTTTGTTTTAATAATCATCAAATATGTATTTGTTTTGTTTGTTTTGGTGTCATCTTATATCCACTAATGAATCAAATCAATGTGGAAAAGAAGTCGCCCATCTGCCTTATGTTCTGTGTGAATGACATTCACGCTTGTTTGTAGGCAAGCCCACTAGCTAAGTACAACTTTCTCTCAGTTTTTTTTTCATCAAATCGCAATTGCAGATAACGGGAATCGAACCCATATCCCCTGCTTGGAAGGCAGACAATTTACCTTTAATCTATATCCGCTATTTACACATTGAATTGATTGACTCAGACTCTTCTGGGTGAACGTAAAGTCTCCCTATTTTCACTCTATCTTCAACTTTCCTGCCAGCTTACGCTACGGCGCTTGCCATGCCATTTGCGCAGCACTAAGAGGCGGCAAAAGTTGCTTCGCTTGTAGTCTCCGAGGCTCCTCTTCGATCAAACTAGCCTGCTGATTCACCAATGAATTTGGAACTTCTAACTCTAAGGCGTTTCCAGCATATAGCGAAGTGATTGAACTCTCATGTTGCCATGAGAGGGACCCATCTTGAGCCCACACAATAAATCCAAGAACTTCAATACTTATCATAGATAGGGGTCGGGAGTTGTGTTTTTCCGCCCTCCGAACCGCACGTGATAGTTTAATTGTGGCTTATAAATAGTAATATGAGGTGATAATGATCGATTGATTTTCATGTCAATTTACTCTGATTTTGACTCAAGGTGACAAGATTCGAACCTATGACCCTTTGTACCCAAAACAGATGCGCTACCAGACTGCGCTACACCTTGTTATGTTCAATTGGTAATTCAACTAGCTGACTAACTAAGATTGGATTGACTGGAACTGGTAAACTCATTGTTGGGCAGTTCCCATCTTTGCATGTGTTCTCAGATAAAATAGATTATGCTTAGGCACACGCATCTACTCCTTATGGAATCTTAGGTGTCAAGGTGTGGGTCTCATATTCATAAAATCAACCAAAACACATATGCTATATCCAAAGCGTACAAAATTTTGTAAATATCAGAAAGGAAGAAGCAAAGGCTCCCACGCGGCGACCCATTATTTGGAACTTGTTGTTTACCTACACTTCAAAGTGGCTTTGTCTACCATTATGCTTTTGTTATGTTAATCGGGTTAACCATATTTATTACCATCATAGGTCTTTGGGACTTTATTTCATTTTGGGTAAATAATCGATTGTATTTTATTTACTTATTGAGTTTTCTATTTATTCATCTCGAAAGAGACGTAAGAACCAACTAAAAACTTGTTGAAACCACCCAAAAAAAGCAAACACATATGTTACAAATTTGTGCTCCATTATTTGACAATTTGAGCTCTATCGAGCTGAGCTAAGAATGCAACTCACCCAAAAGAGTCAACGCAGCCGCCACAACAAAACAAGCAGCTTATTTTATTTATGTATGCGCTCATCCACACGTCCCCCCGGACACGGGGGTGGGGTTAGTGTCTTATTGGCTGCCTGACCTGATGGTTGGTTGCCTTTAATTCAAAACATTTAAATCTATATGGTATGGAAATTGAATTTTTTGAGGTTGATATAACAAAACAACCATCAATGTTTGATAAAATCTGGCTATATGCTGGAACACTCGCAATTCTTACATACACTACCGAGAAATACGACAGAAAGGCCACTCGAGTGGATAGAGTAAATTAGCAGGCCCTCAAAACCACATTCGTAAGCTGACAGGTTTTCCGGATAAGTTAGGCTGGATGAAGAAGCAAATAAGAAAGAAAGGCCAATTAAGATCAAAGAAAGTAGTAAACTAATGACCAAATACACACAAATAGGTGCAAACTCCATAAACCAATCACACTTTGTTTTGYGAGGAGAATAGTTCCAATGGTAGAACAATGGTCTCCAAAACCATAGGTTAAGGGTTCGAATCCCTTKTCTMCTKTAATRTAATTATAATTAATGTTCCTATCTATATCAAAACAAACCTTTCAATCAATTCAATTCAATAATTGGAGAATTCAAGCGTATCGTATAGTATATATAAGCTTGAAGAAAGCATAGATAGACGATTGGCGGAAGAGGGATTTGAACCCCCGACATGCGAATTATGATTCCGTTGTTCTAACCTACTAAACTATTCTGCCTTGAACCACTTGACATTTCGCCTGGTGGGGTTTGTTTTTCAACGCTACCCCACCCAAAACAGTCACAAAGATATAGAAAAATGGTGTGGTGTCCCCTACTGCGAGGCATCCAGGTGCGCCTCCAAACTTTGTAGAGGCCCCCCTGATGGTGCTGCCTCCTGCCTGTCAAATGGTCGTTGAGGAGTCTGTCATGGTTCCCCTTCAGTGAATCGTTGAAATACCACTGGTCTGAGCCCGCACTCAGGACACGCCCCTCGCTCTTGGCCAGGTCGCGATGGCCCTTCATATTGACTAACGAGCGCCTTCCGGCCCCCCTCGAGTTGAGATGACCTCCCTCTGCTCATGATCTCTTTGTCTCCTGCTCCTCTGTCTCCTCTTAACTCTGGGATGGGGCTGTCTAGCTCTGGCCGTCGAAAAAAAGCCTCCCTCAGGTGTGCCCTAGAACCCTCCCAGTGTCAAGCCGTATCCCGGATCTGTATGGCTAGGGGTCCCTCAGCCTTCCTGGTCCACAATGTCAGTACCTGCAACCACTCCTCTCTTAGGACACTCTGGTCGTGCATGAACCGCTCGAAGGTTAGAATAAACTCCTCTGCATTCCCACTGGTGAGAGTCTCAACCACTACATCCTCGTTTCCACCTCCTGCCAAGTCAAAACCTCCCTGCAGATCCACGCAATTGGCTCCTCAAACTGTCCCGCATCTCTCAGCCTCCGTATCATCACTGATACGGTGTGAGGAAACCCGGGGAGGGGTCGCCCACTGTTCGCTGAGGCCAAGGGCAACAACGCCTGTCACTCGCTGCGCCCTCTTCCGAGGTCCTCAACGATCAGCAGGGTATTGCTTTTAGAAACACGYGTCACATCCYTACTCACAGAARCACTTTACTCCATCTTCATGAGATCATAAAACTTAGCRATTTAGTTCGCTCAATATAGCGTCCCCGTTTCCCAACCGAATGCGAAATACAAGTTTGGTCTGATCAGGGGATTTTGCTGTTTCGCCTCTGAACCATTTCTTTTTCAACAAWCAGAAGGATCGTAAAATACTCAGTCAAGAAGAGTAAGTGATGCTCATAATAAAATATTGACTGAATATCCCACAGAATGATCTGGAGAGGGTCCAATTGCCCGCACGCCACACAAGCCAACAAGCGAATTTGCAGACTTGCCTTCTGATAATACAGCGTGAGCTGGTCAGCAAGTTCCTTCACACGTAATGCGATCAAAGGCGTGCGGCGACCCAACTTACGAATTTTGTCCCCATGCAGTCCAATTGTGAGTGAGTAGCGATCCAGTTCACGGGTTCTGATACAAAAAAAAGAGACCCATTCGAGATTGTAGCTCGAGCCAAACCGCTGTTTTTGCTTACACGCGACCAGCAAGAGTTACCGCGAGCTAATGAGTAAGCT